GCCCCCGGGGGAGCCAAGGGGGTCCCTGCAGTGCAGCCCCCCGCTGCGGCCCAGCCTGGTGGGGGTGGGACCTGTAAGGTGGACGCCATGGGGACAGCTGGCGTGGGGGCGCTGGTGGTGCCTTCACCTGCCCGCGCGGCTTGTCTCTGGCTTGTGTGTTTTTCCACCTGTCAGTTTAGGGCTGTGATAGAGGCTGGCCTTGGGTTTCTGACCCCCCTCGCCCCCCCCAGGTAAGGTCACCAGATTGGGACAGGGGTGGGGGTGGGCATCTAGTCAGCTCTCCTCTTGGTGAAAATGGGGCCGCAGTGAGCGACAGCCCTTTCCTCCAGGCTTCCTCGGGAGTGGGAGGCAGCGGGGATGAAGGACATCGCGAGCCAGAGGGGCCCGAGAGAGGGCCCGTCCGAACGGACAGGACTGGCAGCCCCGGAGTGGACCCAAGCCCTGCTCACCCAGTCGGGTGTCTCCTGGAACGGATGATGCAAGGCGCCGCGACTCCCGGCCCCTGTCATTTAACTCTCCCACCACTCCCCGGTGTGTGAGCGAGTGCGGGGGCAGCTCTTCTCGTTCTCTGCGTCCCCCTGTTTCCCAGCCAGTCAGTGTGTCTTTTTGGATTCATTTCTGGTGCCCAGGTCAGGATCTGTGTTGTTGGGTTTTTTATGTGTTTTTTTTCCCCCTCTTTATTTATAATTTCCCAGTTGCTATTTTGGGTTCTGCTTAAAGGAAGATTCTATCCGCCCCAAGGAATGGGTTCCAGGGTGTGTTTCCTCCTCGGCAGGTGTTGAATTGAGTTCTTCAGATCCCCAAGTAGCTCTTAGGCAGGAGGGATAAAAGCTATTTTAGGGTAGTCACTGAAGTGGAGCTGTTAATCCTCTGTGGGTCTCTCCAGTTAAGAACACTTAGAGGTTAACCCTTTCCTTGCTGCAGGAGGGCTGTTTCTCCACAGCGTTTGAGAGGGTTGGGAGAACCCTAGTGTGGCAGGCAAAGGTGGGAACAGGCAACTCAATACAAAGGCAAAGATAATAGCCACCTTTTGTTGGGTGCTTACTGCCAGAGAGCTCTTTGCATACCTGACTCACATAATCCTTACAACAAGCCTGTGAGGTTAGTATTTTTAGCTTTACAGATGAGGAAACAGGCTAATAATGGAGAAAGAACACAGTTTCTATAGAGATGATGTAACATCATAAAAACTAGTTTCATCAGAAGGCAGCGGGTATGATGGCTCACAACAGAGGACAGACAGGCTGGGGAGCAATTGGTCTCCTTTCAGCTCCCAAAGGGGGCCATACAGAGTTTTTAGCAGGCACTTGTATCTGTGGTACAGAGACTTAATAATAGAAGAGATGCCTCAAGTGAGAGAGTCTGGCCCAGGAAGGTAAAGTAAAGAGGGACTGGTGAGAGGGGATGACTGAGGGTTAATTGTGAGGGGAAAAGGGGAAGGTTGCATTCTGGGGAGATGTTGGGAAGGGAAGGAAGCTGAGGTCTGAAGAGTAACATGAAAGGGGAGGGGAAACAGTAGTCCTACTCAGGCCCCCTGTGAGAAAGAGGCAGACACAAATTAGATGTCAGAGATGACACTGCGCGTATTCACACATTTTATATGTCAGATGCTTTCAGGAGTATTATTTCACTTAATCCTCCATGAGAATATTATAGTTAAGGATAATAAATCTCGATTTTATTAAAAAAATTTTATAACCATTTATTTCAGCCAGACTGAGGTCGGGAAGCAAGATCTCACATGTTCTCAATAAATCTCTGTCTTAGAAATTGAGGAAACGGAGGTTCGGAGAAACAAAATAACCTGCCCATAGTTTCACAGCCAGTGAGTGGCAGTTCTTCTGATAGCAAGTCCAAGGTTCTTTCCACGCTACCTCCCTCTTCAGATCAGGTGCCAGAAGGAATCTTAGGATGAAAATATACTGAGTTAGACCAGTAACTGGGAGTGATTGTGTTTGTTTTATGGGAACAGGTTCTGTCAGCTTCTCTGTAGTTAAAGTTAGCATGTGAGACCAGAAGAGCAGCTTTGAAGGGAAGCAGAATTCTTTGACAGTTTTGCCAAGGAAGAACTGAAGGAATAGGCCTGACGTGAGAAAAGCTCAGGATTCTTTTGGAGGAGGGGAGTTTGCAGACAAAGGACAGAGGGAGAGAGACTAGATTCCCAAAAGGACTCCTTAAGGTAACACTAGCAGCTTTGGTCATCCAGCAGCTTTTCAATGACTGTAGGTAAGGACTTCCGCTGTGCCTTTTTAAAAGCTAGGGTGAGTAGGATCAGGGTGTTGGCTGTTTTCTTTTTAAAGCCATAGCCCCATTAAATGCAGATCAAGGCAAGCACATGGCTGCTGGCTTCCTCCTTTGGTTCTGTGAATACAACCTCATGAGCCTGTTTCCTAGAAGCCCATTACTCATACTAAATTGCTGTGTCTTGTTTGTGCTTGTTCAGGAGAACAGATGAAGTGGACGTGTGGGAGGTGGGGGATGTACTGTTCTCTTTCTGAGTTTGTGCGGAATTTCCAGGGCTAGGCTCCCCTCTCACATTAGCCAGGATGGTACAACTTGCTTCCCTCTGGCTGCCATTCCCAACTTTCCAGAGGTTGAGGTGCATGATTTCAAATATCAAGAGGAAGCAGAATGTGACTTTGAAGATAAAGGAAATCCCCTCCAAATTAGACATTCACACTTGAGCTTCCTATCTACTCAATTCCAAGGTGCATAGTAATCGCTGGTATTATAAACAGGTAATTCCACCCTTGTGAAGAAGGAGGATACTTAAACAATGAAAGCAGGACATCAGGAACCTTTGAGGTTTATAATGAAGCAGGTAAATATGCCTTGACTTGAAGGCTCAAGTGGGACTAGTTTTTGGTGCTACCTATACCTCACCAGCGTGTGATTCATGCGAAGTGCAGCCACCTTTGTGCAGATCATTCTAGGCAAATCTCCAGTCATGATGAGGAAATGTTTATCATATTACATTGCAACGTTTCTTCAACAAGTGGAATGGTTTCTGAACAGGACATACATAGCTCATGTTAATGATGAGCAAAGCTCTCTAGGGCATGAACCCGCTGATCCTATCATCTCGTTCAAGGCCAGTCTGTTGGATGAATGGTCACTGTAAGCAGCAGTTGCTAATGAGCTGAGCAAGCATTCTGTGGCTCACAGCTAGTGTGTATGGTTGGAGCCCTCCCCAGATTCTCGTGGACAACCCCCAGCTACCATCTCTGCTCCCTTCACATGGAAAGGTCTCATGACCATATTTTGGCATGACCTCTTCAAAGGGAATCCCTGTTGCAGCAAATTGCATTGCAATTAGTACTCTGTGATGAGCTTGTGAGTGTGACTGTGGATCTGTTGTCCCCTTTTGAGAGTCAGTTTGGTAACTCCTATCCTCTTCCTCTGAGTTGATGTCAGGAAAGAAGTACTGACACCTGCTCCAGCCTCTCCCCTCCCCAGTCCCTACCCCTTCTACTCAATAAAAGAAAGGATCATACTTCAGGGTAATGGCTCCACACTTTGGAAGTGCTATAATCCAGTTTAAACCAGAACTTCCTAAGCCTAAGCTAAGCCTATGAGAATCAACTTATATTCAACGATTAACTTACTCACCTAAAAGAAAGTTGAGGGTCCTTTTCTAGGTGCTAGGTGTATGGAGATGAAAGAGATGATCTGAGCCCTCAAAGAATCAGAGTTTGGAGAAGGAGACTAAGTTCTAATGCAAGGAGACTAAGTTAACCTGCTCGTAATGGAGAAATGAATGTGCACTATGAAGGTCTATAGAAGGGGCCACTCTGCAACTTGGGGTATCGGACAGGCTTGGTTAAAGAAGCATGGTCTGGGCCTGAGACAGAGACTCAGAGAAGGGCAGGGTGGGACCAGCACTGGTTAGTGGAAATGCTGAGTGTGCTGTTGCCTCCTCAGATAGAATCTCTTGATGTTGATGTGCTGCTAAGAAACACATCTGGCCCGGCTGGTGTGGCTCAATGGATTGAGCTTCGTCCCATGGACCAAGAGGTCCCCAGTTCGATTCCCTGTCAGAGCACATGCTCAGGCTGTGGGTTTGATCCCCAGTAGGGGGCATGCAGGAGGTATATTTAAAACAAAACAAAACAAAATCTGTCACAGGGGCTGACTTTTCAGGGTGTAAATTTCCTAAGTAAAGGCTTTTCCTTCTTTTCTGTTGCCTTTTGGGCATTTTATTGCTCCTTAACACCTCCACGAGTAGGAGAACTGTGGAAAGTAGTGGGTGAGGGGGAGTTAGGGTAAACAGGAGGAAGAGGATATGCTGCAATCTCTAAGTTTAATGGAAAGGATGTGAAAGAGAAATTAGAAGAGAAAGTTTGGAGTTTAGGGCTTTTATTTCCTCAGATTATCTTGTTTCCAGTAGCCTAGTGGTACTAATGAATAATGGTTACCACTAAGCATTTATTAGGTTCCCAGCCTTTGCTGAATGTTTTATATTATCTCATTTAATCTTCAAAACATTCTTATGATTTAAGAGATTACTAAGCTTATTTTGTATGTGAGGAAACAGTTCAGGGAAGTATTTGGAAGGGCCGGGATTGGAACGGGGTTCTATTTGTCTCCATAACCCATATTTCCATGGTATTTGGCTCCCTAACACCAGATGTTCTGATATTTCAGGTGAAGAGATTGTTTTCTGAAGGCTGCGTTGGAAGCTGTGACAGAGCAGAGAGCCTGTGTGAAGC